TCTTTTATGTTGTAACCGACAGCTAGCTGTTGTTATACTTGCTTGCAGCTTTCATTTGTGTTTAATTATGTTAAATCCAAGCACAAGAATTTAATTCTGGCACTTTTTGGCTCTTATTCCTAGAAGGAGAGAGTTCTATGCTGTTATTTCCTATCTCTTTACTAAAAGGTTTTTTTTCTCTCTGAAACCTGCCTTTTCATTTGATTCTAAGCTAGCTAGAAAGCCTTTCAGTCCTTCAGAAAAACTTTCTTGCATAATTTCTTCCAGGCTCTACACTATACTTCGCCATTCTTCTTCACTTGATATCCCCTTGCCGTTTTTTTGTTGTTGTTCTTTTGACTACGCAATGGGGTGCCCAAAGTCACACAGCTAGTAAATGTTAAGTGTCTAAGGTCACATTTGAACTCAGGTTGTCCTGACTCCAGGGCCAGTGCTCTATCCACTGTGTCACCTAGCTGCCCCAGGAATTCTCTGTATAATTCACCTATTAGGGAAAATTCTCTCATGCCCTTAAACCCTGGACTCTCACTGGTCAGCCCCCATTACATTAGCACACCAAAGCTAAACTAAGCATTAACATACAAGTTGCTATTGTTGTCAGTACTATCAAAATCTGTATTTTATATGAGATTTTATATGAGGAATATCTATAGGAAAATGAAAAAAAAATTCCCAGAAACATGTCTCCAATGTCCTCAGTGATGAGAAGTATTAGCTAAACAAAATGATGGGGTCTGGGCATATGCCAGATCCTCATTACATACATACATACATATATATATATATATATATATATATACATATATATATATATATATATATACATATATATATATACATATATATGTATAATGTACATAATGTATTTCAATACTTAAAACCATCTTATTGCTATTTTACACAAATCACTTAACATTAGTGATATATCTTATGACATTTTTTATTTTCTGATGGATTGATTTTTATTAATATTGATTATAATTTTTTAAAAATTAGAGCCTTACCACCGTGATAATTTTAATATACTATGTGGTAGAATTCCTACCATGGTATTGTCAGATTATGATTTCTTAGATATGATTTGATCACTATTTAAAAATTTTTTTAAATATGTGCTATAAAAGTCATAAATATATCTGTTCTTAACAGTTTAATATCTGATATCTCTTCTATTTTGGGACAATAATGGATTTTAGGAACAGAGAAGTGCAATAAGAACTTGCTTCATACCATCTATCTATTTATCTGCCTGTCCATATCTATCACTCATCCTATTTGAGCTGTCTAGTTGGCAGTTGGTGATGAGGAAGTAAGGTTCAGGGAAGACACTGGGTTAGATATATTATCAATTGGGCAAGAGTGTGTGGGAACCAGTGGAAGCAGTGTGAGCACTTATCAAGGCTCAGTTGGTTGTTTTGTTGAATTCTAGACTTAAGAAAGTGATGGAGAAAATGTCAATAACGCAAACTACACTTAGATGTATCTACACCCTCTCCCAAGAGCCGGTGGTTAAACATGTACCAGCACACCCTTGGATATGGAAGTTATCTACATAAAACTGATAACTGGATCTATGAAAATTGATTAAATTACCCAAAGGAGGGTAATTTTTTTTTATATCATGGACCCCTTTGACAGGCCTATGGGAGACCTAACCAACATATGGCTCGAAGACCCTGAGCCTGCAGGTGGATTTCCAGCGACCTGCGAAATGTGTAGGGTTGTCATGTGACCCACGGCAACCAACCATCATCAGTCTGTCTCAAGTCTAACCTATCTGTGGCTCTAAGAAGTTTACCCTATTTTAATTCTGGCCCCTACCTACTGCCAGGTTGTGCAGGTCTGGCCCATGGTGAAGCCTATCCTTAGAATGATTTTTTAAATACTGTAATTGAAGAAAATACTAAATTTCAGTTACAGGTTGTTATTGAAAATAAAAATAGAATTTTTCTTTCTTTCCCATCCAAGTTCACAGGCCCCCTGGAATCTATCCCTAGGTTAAGAATCCCTGACCTAGAGAAAGTGTAGAGGGGTGAGAAGAGGTACTAGGACAGAGCCTTGGGCTACATCCACACTTAGACCTTCTGGCACTGATAATGATCCAGCAAAGGGAAGGGGCAGCTGGGTGGTGCCATAGTGCACAGAATGCTAGGCCTGGAGTCAGGAAAACTCATCTTCCTGAGTGCAAATCCAATCTCAGACACTCACTAGCTGGGCAAACCACTTAACGCTGTTTGCCTCAGTTTCCTCATCTGTAAAATGTATTGGAGAAGGAAATGGCAAGTCACTCAGTATCTTTGCCAAGAAAACCCCAAATGGGGTGAGTTGGATAACCACTAAGAAGAAGACTGAACAACAAAGGGAAGGGGAGAAGTCTGACTAATAGGATGAGAAAGAAGAAAAAAGCAGTGCCTTAAAAACCTCTGGAGTAGAGGAGGTAGCATATGGAGTCGAATACTGCAGATAGTCAGACACATTTCAGCTTGAACAGATCTGTGCTTTAGGAAAATCAGATCAGCAGCTGTGCAGCAAAGGATTGAAGAGGGTATGGAAAATCATTAGCTGGCTGCTGCAAAAGCCTAGGAGTTAACCGAAGGGGGTAGATAGCTCTAATTAGAACTTAATTAGAGCTATGCCAAAAGAATCATAGGATGTCAGAGCTGGAAGAGACTGTACTGACCCTCTATATCAATCCCTCTATTTTATAATAGGTGAAATTAGGGCCCAAAGAAGTCATAGAATCACAGAATTTGGAAAGGCAAATCATCTTGCTTGTATCTTTTATTTTATAGAAGAAACTAAGAGGGTGTAATTGGGGCTGAGTTTGGTATTATCAATATTATTCTGGTTTAGAGTTAATGTTGGAATTCTAATTAAGGTTATCCTGGAAATGTGTGCATGAGCAAAATCCACCATCTAGGCTAGGCTAGTTTTTCCTTAAAAGTTGTTGAAACTGTCCTGAAGACTCTATTGACTTAGAGTCTATTGACTAAGGCTCCTGTTTGAACTTGATGTTACTTTCTTGTGGCCTAAATATAAAAGTCAGCCTAGGAGGAGGCAGGAAGTTGCTTCTCTCTCTCTCTCTCTCTCTCTCTCTCTCTCTCTCTCTCTCTCTCTCTCTCTCTCTCTCTCTCTCTCTCTCTCTCTCTCTCTCTCTGTCTCTCATTGTGGGCAATAAAGGGGTTAAGGAATCTGAGGTCAACCAAATCAACGCTGGGAACACTGTGTCCTTGCCAAGTATCCTTTCTATGCCATGACTAAGAAAAACTTTTAATAATCATTAGACACTCTAGGAGTGTCTCCTTGTGCTCCAATTCTGAACCCAAAGAACCAGACAGGCCTGGAATGGGTGTATGGCAACACCTATTTTACAAATGAAGAAAGTAAAACTAAATTTCCCCAAGGCTACCAAAGCCACAACTTGAAGCTCATTTTCCAGTTCTCACTCCCACATCCTTTCTGGTAGGTCACATAATTTAATTTCAACCAGCCTTAATTTCCTCATCTGTAAAATGAGAATCGTAATAGTATCTATTTTAGAAGGTTGTGAAGATCCAATAAGATCACACACACACACACACACACACACACACAATCTCTTACCTCCCACTTCCTCACCCACCTTGGATTTTGGATGGGGTTACAGGGAGTGTTAAGGTTTGGGCTGAATTTGAGGTCAGGGTTCACTATGGAATATGCATTAGGTTTGAGGTTAGAATTATCAGATTAGAATTAATGTCAAGTTCAAGGTTATGTTTGGGTTAGGACTGAGGCTGGAGCTGAGATTGTGTTTTTGGTTGATGCTGTCCCCAGAGGAAAGCAGTGCAAATAAGTATTAGGCACATCTTAAAGTTTACAAACCTCATTGCCCATAGCCTACCTCCTATCCCTTACCTCAACCCTCCCATCTCCCATAACATTTTGTTCGCAGCTCCAATCCATTCTGATGTCATTTTCTATCATATTTTTATGTATATGCATGTTATCTCCACATAACAGAGTGAAATAAGAACATACTACATGCAGCATATTAGTGTGCCTGCCTTCTTCCTACAGCTGCTCCAGAATTGATTGTTCTATTTTTTATCATCTCAGCCAACTTGATATGAAACCTTAGAGGTAATTCAATTTACAAAATGAAGTTGTGAACCTGCTTTTTATTGAAAGGGAAACTGCAGAGGTGGGAAATGAGTCATAAAGAAACAGAGAAATCTCTCTCTCTCTCTCTCTCTCTCTCTCACACACACACACACACACACACACACACACACACAAAATCCAAAGTCAAACCCAGGGCTCCTGACTCCAAATCCAGAGCTCTTTCCACTTGGATACTCTGTTACTGGTCTAAGTTAGTGATTTGTAGGACAAAAAGCAGCATAAGAACTGGTTGACCGACTGGACAGAATACTGGCCTTTGAGTCAGGAAGACTAGGATTCGAGTCCTTCCTTTGATACATTCTAGCTGTGTGTGACCCAGCAGACCTTCCTTATCTTCTTAGTATCTCTACCAAGTCTCTAAAAGCATAAGTTGCAACTAAATAACCTATGTTCTTGGGTGGATTAGCTCTGCAGCTTTTTACCTTCCCTAAGCACCTGGACACACAGCCTCAGTTGAGTGTCACTTGGGGTGGTATTCATGCATCTCGTTAGGCCAGGTCCTGGATCCAAGGACACACGCAATGCAAGAGTGTGTGTGTGTGACTCGGTTGCACACTCTCGACCCCCAGCTGTGCTTACTACAGCCATGGCAAAGAAGCCACGTGATAGGGATCCCCAGAAGTTGCACACAGCCACGCGACCGTGTGCGTGAGTGGGGGGGGTGAGGTAACGGTGTGTCTGCGTGTGAACGTGTGACGGGGCGCATCTCCTCCCACCCCTTCGGAGGACCGCGCGGGATCCGGCCCGGTCTGGGCGCATCGCTCTGGGTCCCTCGGCGGCTTCCCAGTACTGCACAGGGTTTCCCCGCTTCCAGGTCTTGCTGGGCTCCGCCCTCCGCATCAGGGCTTGCAGACGCAGGGCCGGAACTGCGTGGTTGCTGGCGCTCCAGTCCTTTCCCGTCAGTCCAGTCATGGGCTCCTTGCTGCCGCCGCTCCTGCTGCTGCAGTCCCTGGGACTCGTGTTCCTGGGCCTCTGTCTCGAGCCAGGTCAGTGCCGGCGCCCTAGGCTACGGCGGGAGGGAGGGCAATGGGAGGCTTGGAGCCCCTATGCAAGAGGTTCAGCCCCACACCCCTAGCCTGAGCTTCTCTCCCTACCACCGGTCACCCCCTAAATTCCAACTCCTACGATCCTTAAGTTGGGAGAAGCCTTGGATCACATGATCTCGGGTCTAGAGCTGGAACGGGCCTTAGAAGTCCTCAACTCCAACTCCTTCATTTTACAGATGAGGAAAATGAGGCCCAGAGAAGTGCAATCGCTTGCACAAGGCCGCACACATTGAGGCGGATTCGAAACCCTAGCCGCAGAGTCCAAATTCAGATCTCTTCTCCACTGGACCTTGGCGGCTTCCCTTGAATTTGTATGAAAGTGTAATATATAGTATATATAGTATAGTATAGTATAAAGGAGCTCACTTCAAACCCAACCTCAGACAATCTCAGTTTCCGAGTCTGAAAAATGGGGATATTAATGGCACCTACCTCCCACGGTTGTTGTGAGGATAAAATGAAATGGATTTGAAGTTCTTTGCAAACCTTAGTCTTTGCGTGTTCTAATTTTCCCTTTTAAAGATACAGTCACTTTGGATGTTTGTTACTTTATATTTAAGAGGGAGGGAATAAAACATGGCAGAGACAGCTTAAACTAGGGTTACAGGTGTATATTCAAACTTCTCATCTTACTCTTTTTCAGCCTAACTGGTTACTCCATGTCCCCAGAACACTCCCCTTGCTTACACTGTTCCTTATGCCTGGAAAATCCTCCTTCTTTCTTTCTCCCTACCCCTTTGCATGCTTTAAAATGCAGTTCAATAGCCCCCTCCTCGAGGACATTTTCCCTAATTTCCTCTCTCATTCTTACCCCTACTTTCCCCCTACCTCAAATAGCTTTTTTTGGGGGGGAAACTCTCAAGGCAGTGATCAAAAAATATGATCTATAATAATTATTTGTGTTTGTGCCTTTCGGGTAAGTGAGTTCCCTGGTACCATGTCTCATCTACACTGTGTTTTTTTCCTAAACAAAATTTTTTTATTGATAATCTCTTTTCTTCATGACTCCTTCCCCCATAGAAACATCCTTTGCAACAAATTTTGTTACATTGTTTCAGTTGTGTCTGACTCTGTGACTCCAACAAATACAACTATGGGCAACAAAGAAATACAACTATGTTTAATGGGTATCATATTGCTTGCCTTCTCAATGGGTGGGGTAGGGGTTAGAGGAAGGGAATTTAGAACTTGGAATAAAAAAAAAAGAACGTCAAAAAATATATATAATTTTTTTTAAAAAGTAGGGACAAATAGAATTAAACTTTGTACCTCCCCCAGCACCTTACACAGTACTCAAGCATACTGTAGGCATTGAAAAAATGTTTATGAATGAATGTATGAATGAATAAATGATTTGCTCCTTGCATTACATTTATTTTATTATAGCCCAGATTAGCTCTGTCTTTCATCTTTCAGGCAATGGGCAAGATAATAGCATGGTCCAGCTGCCAGGTGGGACATTCCAGATGGGGACAAATTCCCCAGATGGCAAAGATGGAGAAGGGCCTACTCGGGAAGTAACAGTGAAGCCCTTTGCCATTGACAAATACCCTGTCACCAACAGAGATTTCAGGTACAGCGTCCACTCTTGTGGTCAGGGTACTCTTCTTACTAATCCTCCTTTTTCTTAACCTACACATCTATTGGCAAAGGACACTTAAGGTTTTTTTTTAAAAGCACTTTCACATTTACCATTTCATTTCACCTTTATTTTCATAACACCGTAAGTATGCTATTGTTCCCCGACCCCCCCTTTTACGAGACACATATATAAACCAGGGAAGGATAAAGCAAAGAAAGACAACTATAGACCATTATCACTGATGACTACAATTAAAAATTTTAGGATTTAGATAAGGAAGTTGGGAGATTTAAGGGACTTGAATGAATGCATGAGTGGGAAAAAAAGCATTTCTTAAGTATTTGTTGTGCTAAGTGCTGAAAATAACTTCAAAAATGAGTCTTGTCATCTTACAGCTTACATTCTAATGGGAGAAACACAACATATAAAAGGAAGTGGTGGCCAGGTAAGGGAGTTTTGATCTGGGGAATGGGCATGGTAAGTAGAACCTTAGGTCAGCCATTTCCAGAAGCAAGGGTGATAGCAATTCACTGACCATTCCTGACCGAAGGAGATGTGAGAGGGGACATGCACCACAGGGGTGAATAGGATACAAGATGTACCAGACGGATGGCTGAGTGGGATGTGAAGCATTGTCTGGTCTGGTGCCTTCTGGGTAGAGTGGGCTTGGTGAGTTTTCACTTATTCACCAATCAACACAGTTTAACCCCAAGGCAGAAATTCTGAAACAGAATGGATTAACTGCCCTAGGGCCTGGAGGTCACTTTGGACTTGCCCAGTGTCTCCTAGAGAATTCTTAGGAAAGAAGCCAAGTGTCCTGACTGGCTGGCTGGTGTACTTAACATGCACACAGCACTGAGAGACCTGGGCAAAGGACAGACAATCTGCCAAGCGGAAAGTCCCTGTCAGCCCAGAGGTCAGGTGGATTGATAAGGAATGCCAAGGTAGACTAACATATGGACTGAGGGGTTGATGGGCCTTGGCTTCATCAGAAGCTTGTCCAGATTTCAGAAAGCCTCTCTAAGAAGAAGGAAAAAGACTATATTAGAGTTATACCAGCGACTCAAGGGTGGATCAATAGAAGGTAAACAATTAGCCTATTTAATCAGTAAAAATAAAAATATCCAAAATACCCTCATGCTTTTCCATCTCAAATAATAGCCCTCCCCCACACACATATAGTGCCTAAAGGTTTAGAATTCTTTCCTCTCGTCCTGCTAGTGTTATTATTCTCATTTGCCAGATAATGAAATGTTTAGCTTAAATAGGGGAAGAGACTTGCCAGGACCAAAAGCTGCTATCAAATGACTATGTTGGAACTTGAATCAAGAGTTCGAATTTTGAGTCTAGCAGTTCTTTCCACCAGCAGTGTCTTAATGAAGTGCTGTTGAGCTATGAAGTGCCTTTGAGAACCAGCTCAAACGTGGCCTGCTCCATGGAGCTTTTCCTAATCCCCTAGCAAGCATGATTTTGAGTGTACACACACACACACACACACACACACACAAAAGAGAAGCACAGATACTCCCATTCCTCTTAGAAAACATCTTTGTTGTTCAGTTGTGTCTAATTCTTTGTGATCCTGTGGACCATACTGCACCAATACTGTCCATGGGGTTTTCTTGGCAAAGATACTGGAGTGGTTTGCCAATTTTTTTCTCCAGAGGTAAACAGAGGTTAAATGACTTGCCCAGGGTCACACAGCTAGTGTCTGCAGCCACATTTGAACTCAATCTTCCTAACTCCAGGCCCAGCGCTCTATCCACTGAGCCACCTACCTGCCTCTAAAAAACAAACAAATTTAATAAACCTTATAGAGTCTTCGAAAGTGTTTGTACCTCTCTTATGATTCTTCTAGTGTGTCATACATTTCTTTTGTTCCTATGACCCTCTACATTGTGTTATAATTATTTGTGTACACATCTCATCTCCTGTATCAGACTGTAAGCTGCTTGATGGCAAGAACCAGGTCTTAATCATATTTGGATCCTCACAGTGGATTCAGCACAGTGCCTTGCATTTAAGAGACACTCAGGAAATGTTTGTTGAACCAATGAATTCGGAAACTTGAATGGTGAGCCAGGCCAACATTTCTCCTCCCAGGGAATTTGTGAGACAGAAGAAGTATCAGACAGAAGCTGAATCATTTGGGTGGAGTTTTGTCTTTGACGACTTAGTATCTGATGAGCTGAAAAAGAAAGTGACCCAGAAGCTGGAGGTAAGAGGGAGTAGTGGTGGGTGAGTGGGTGGGAAATGGGGCAGGACACAATGAGCAGGGCTAGAGCTAGGGAAGAGAATCAGGTACAGGGGGAGCAGCTGAGACCCTAGGCCTCAATTCCTCTGTCTAACGAATCCCAGAGTCTCTTTTGGCCCTAATTTTATGCATCACATCATGGGAAGTCAAGGGGTAGGAAGAGAAACCCACGCATATACCCAAGAGCTCCCTGAGCCCATTCCCATTTTTTTCAACTTGGAAGGGAGAAAGTAGCTCAGTGAGAAGCAAAGAACTCCATGAGATTTGAAAATGATAAGGCCTGGCAGAGGTCATCTGGTCTAGACCTTCTATCTAGACAAACCTGTCTTTAAGGGGAGCCTATGCAAATGTAGAGGAGGGGAAGCTGACTTCTTTAAAAGCTCTTCAGGAAGGAGGATGCGGTGGCCTTGCTCGGAAAGCTCATATTGAGTTCTCAGTTTTTGCCCCACATCCTTGATTTTAAGCTGGATGAGTGAGGTCAGGGGTGGGGTTGGAAGGTGGGAGGCCAGTATGTTGGGAGTCAGGGCCGCTCAGCTGGCCCTCTTTTCTGTTTTCAGTCTGCACCCTGGTGGCTCCCGGTGGAGAAGGCATTTTGGAGGCAGGTGAGCTTGGCTCCTCACTTTCCATCCCTCTCAGCCCTCCCCCCATGTGGTCCCATTCTGGAAGCCTAACCTTCTTATCCCCAGAAAACAAAAGCCTAAAGTGGATGACAGAATAATTCAGGTGAAGCATTTGAGCCAAAGGATCTGAATTTGAATTGTGGCTGTTAGTCAATTAGCTATGTGATATGAGGCAAATGACTTAGCCCGCCCTGGGCCTCAGTTTCCAGCTTTAGATCCTGTTATTCTTTGACTAAACAGCCAGCGCTTACCCTGAGACAAATATTGTTCCTTCTCATCCTAGTCTCCTGGTATTGTAGTGTGGACCCCAACTGTGCCACTCAGTGCCTGTGGGACTTTTGGCAAGTCCCTGCGCTTTTCTGGGTCTCCCATTCATTCATCATCTGTAAAGCGAGCGGGTTGCACTCAGTGATTTCTAAATTCTGAAGCTTCAGACCTGTGACCCTTCCTTTTCTCCCTGTTTCCTCATCTGTAAGATAGGAGGAACAAAACACTCTGATGGCCTGCTAACAGGCTGGTGGTTGTGTCAGAAGCACTCTGGAAATCTGAAAAGTCTATGGAAATGGGCTGTTACATCTCCTTTCTGTTGCCTCTCATCCCTTAATGCTTTTTCTCTTCCTCTCCTTCATGGTTCTATGGGATAGTGAAGGCCTGGCCCAGCAGTCCTTGCTAAACACCATCCTAGGGATCCTGTCCATCTCCAGGTATCTCCCCTTCCCCTTCCTGCCCAATCAGCCTTCAGGTCCAGGCTCTGGCATCCGAGACCGGCTAGACTTCCCCGTGCTGCATGTGAGCTGGAATGACGCCCAAGCTTTCTGTGCCTGGCGAGGCAAGCGGCTGCCCACAGAGGAGGAATGGGAGTTTGCTGCCCGGGGAGGGCTGAAGGGTATGTCAGTCTTTCCCCACACAGTGACGAGGTCTGACAAGGAATGAAAAGCAATAGAAAGAGGAGGGTTTGGGTCAGAGTAGCTGTGTAACCTTGGGCAAGTCACACAGACTCTCTGCATCTCAGTTTCCTCATCTGTAAAATGAGGGGATTAGAGTAGATGATTATCTAAGTTCCCTTCCAGTTATATTCTTATGATTTATGTATGCCCAGTTCTCCCCTCTTCTCATCATTCCATGAGCTGTACCCATAGATGCTTTCCCTCCCCAAAACAAAGCCTTGGTGGGTAGGGCAGTCTTCCAAGGGCTTTTTCAGGAGGCTGGTGCATATAGTTTAATAGGAAGAATCTTGTGAGTTCAAGCTCTATTGTTTCTCTCACATCCATCCCCTTTCTTTACTCACATGGCCACCACCCTAGTTCAGGCTTTTGTTACCTCTTGTCTGGGCTATTGAAATAGCCTCGTAACTATTTCCAATCTTTCCTTCTCCAAGTTATCACACACAGCTGGCAAAATAATCTTCCTAAGGCACCAGTCTGATCATGTCACCCCTCCTACTCAAACACCTTCACTGGCACCCCATTGCCTATAGAAGAAAAATCTGTACTTCTTAGCCTGGCAGTTAAGGCCCTCCACAATCTCCAGTTGAATTGAATGAAGAGCCAGGACAGATAACATCCTCTCTCCTCTTCCCTCTCCTTCTCCTGCCCTTTCCCTCTTTTTCTACTTCTCCCTGTCCTTCCTTTAACCTTCCTTTCTCCCTCCTCTCCCCTTACTCCTTTCCTCACTACTTGCTCATAATTTCCCCTCGACTCTCCTTCTCACCTTTACCTTCTGTTCCCTTTCCTTCCCCCTTTTACCATTTCCTTCCTCTTGTCCTCATCTCCTTCCTCTCCTGATTTTTTTCTCTTTTGTCCCTTTCCACATCTCCTTTCTCTCCTTTCTGTCAGGCCGAGTATACCCCTGGGGGAACCAGTTCCAGCCGAACCGCACCAACCTGTGGCAGGTAAGGCTCCCCATCCTCTCCTAGGGCAGAGGCCCCTGCAATCTGGGGCCAGAAAGGTCTCCCCTTTGGTTCTCCCTGCACACTCCCAGCACGTTAGGGAGGTGGAAGTCAGGGGAGTACTGAGGTGGGAGAAGAGAGGAGCTCCTAGATCTGAGACCTAAACTTCACCCCGCTCCCAGCGAATGGCTGGCTGGCCTAGTCCTGACCTGCCTGTTCACTCACAGGAAAGCCCTGATCCTGACTTCTTTCTTCTCAGGGCAAGTTCCCCCAGGCTGATACAGCTGAGGATGGTTTCCATGGAGCCTCGCCTGTAGATGCTTTCCCTCCCCAAAACAACTACGGTAAAGCCAATCATGAATGCCCCTCTAGGCCCTAGCCCGTAGTTCCACAGATTCTCAAGCTTTTCTCCCCATGTGGGTTAGGCTTACTCTTATGGATCCTTAATCTTGGGGACCCCTCAAGTTATTCCAGGAAGAGAAAATCCCCAAACCTTCTACCCTTTCCCTTCCCCAGAGAGTGGGTGGGGGGTGGTGTTGGGCTGCCAGGCACAGTCTTGACCACTGAGCAGTCTGCTACCATTCATCAGGACTCTGTGACCTCATGGGTAACGTGTGGGAGTGGACAGCATCGACATATGGATCTCCCATCCCTGGCCAAGACAGGAAGGTTTTGAGGGGAGCATCCTGGATCGACACAGTAGAAGGTTCGGCCAACCACCGTGCCCGAGTCACCACCAGGTAAGAACATGTTCCCTCTTCCAGGGAAGGAGAGGGGCCAGGAATTAAGAGATGTAGTGGAAAGGGTGCTGAACTTGGAGACAAAGGACCAAGCATGAACCCTGCATTAGTCACGTACTCCTGATTCACCTCTCTGGGCCTTGGTTTTTCTCATTTGCAAAATGAGGGGTCTGTGCTGGATGATGACTGCTGAGGTCCCTTCTAGAACCCTGATCCTGGAGACCCAGCTTCCCTGGTCAGTCTCAGGAAGTTGGGGAGAAAAACAGGTTTTTTTATCCAGCTTAGAATGGAGGGGCTTTAGGTCCCGTGTTCATATTATTCAGGCTTTGGCTTTTTGTCCTGCCTTCTGATTCCCCACTTCACTCTTGTACAAGAGAAGTGTAAGGAGGGAAAACACCACATCAACATATTGAGGCAAGTCAGCGGCTCCAGTAAGGTCAGTGGTCATAAAACCACCACATTTAGAGCAAGAAGGTGCTTTGAGAGCATTTAGTTTTAATGTCATTTTACAAATGAAGAAACTGAGACCCAGGGAGGTTAATGTGACTTATAGGATCATAGATCTATAGAGGGAAGGGACCTTAGAGATCATCTAGTCCAACCTTCCTATTTTACAGAGAAGGACACTGAGGCCCAAGGAAGCCAAGGGATTTCCCTAAGGGCACACAGTAAGCAGCAGAAGTGGAATTTGTTCCCAGGTCCTCTGACCTGAAGTGATTTGCCCAAAGTCACATGGTTCTTTTTTTTTGGGGGGGGTGAGTCAACTGGGGTTAAGTGACTTGCCCAAGGTCATACAGCTAATAAATGTTATGTGTCTGAGGCCAGATTTGAACTCAGGTCCTCCTGAATCCAGGGCTGGTGCTCTATCCACTGTGCCACCTAGCTGCCCCAGGTTAATTCTTCCTTAATACACTGTATAATACTTCATACTTCCATCCTGTGAAGCATTTTATAAATGAAATGTGTCCTGGAAAGGTGAAGGGACTAGTCTAAGGAGGCAGAGTCAGTGACAGAACCACACTTGGGAACTTGTGGGGTCCTGACCGAGGCTTTTCCCTCCGCCTCCCAGCTGATAGGTTTCCTTTAAGAGCTGGCTGTTTCTGTGACCCTGTTATGTTGAAGTTTTTAAAAATCCCACCTACCAGAACAAGTCCATAGCCTCCATGACTCTTCCCAGGGGCTCTCAGCTCTTTCAGCCTGAGTCTGTGGAAAAGTAGCTCCTTCCTTGGGAGGCCAGACGGTTGGTTCTAGGCTTGGCCTGGCCATGAACTAACTGGGGGATCTCAGACAGGTCTTTGGGCTTCTTTATCACTTACCTATCAAATGAGATGAACATCTGCCTCACAGGATGGTTGTGTGGGTGGGAAAGTATAAAGAGTATTGTTACTGTTTCACAGAAGATCATACCTTAGATGTTATCTGGTACAACTGAGGGAAAATGAGGCCCGGGGAGAGCAAAGGACTTGCCAGAGTAGGAACAAGTCAGTTCAGTGTGGTTTTTGGAAGACCCTGAGCTTAAAGAAGCTGAATGACAATCTCTTTTCCTGCTTTCACTGTTCAGGGGAGAGGGGAAGTGCTATCTCAGCTCTTGATCCACTGCCTCTTTTCTTTCCTCTCTCTGATGGCAGGATGGGCAACACTCCAGACTCTGCCTCAGACAACTTGGGCTTCCGTTGTGCGGCTAGCCCAGGCCGGCCTCTTGAGGAACTGTGAACAGAGAGCAAGAGGCAAGGGGGAGAATCTCCTATGGCCCTGCCCCGATGGCCAGCCAGGCCTCTCCACTCAGCCAGTGCCTCATCAAAAAAACATCAGGCCCAGACAAAGGCTTAGCTGGAGTAATTCCACACTCCACCTTTGCCACATCAACCATTCTCCCTTTCTCGATCCCCACCCCCCTAGTCCTCCACTGAGTCGCATTCTGTCAAGAACTCTGGCTGAGGCTGAGAATAACCAGGACGTACGGGACTTCGCCCATTGCCAACTCAGGAAACCAAAGCCCTCAGTATTAATTATAGTTTAGGTGTGGCAAACACACCCACCTGCATATTAGATGGAGAAACAAAGCTTGTAGCTAAGAATTATAAATTGTTAGAAATGGGATGGACTTTCAATACCATACAGTACAGAAGTTCTCAAACTAACCTAGCCAAGAGTACAGATATGGGCCTTGAAATACATTGTTGAAACCCTAAAGTACTGGTTCAGAGGGTAGGGGTGGGAGGATATGAGGTTATGAAATATCCTCTGTGAGTCAAGGAGGGGTGGGGTGACAGTAGGGAAAATCTTGGAATAGATGAAATTGTTTTTTCATACCAAAAAAAATTGTATAAAATGTTTTAGATGCTTCATAATTTATACTAATATTTTAAATCAGCATATCATATTTAAGAGGGAAGAACACTGCTGTTTCTAATGGAACCTCTAATAGTATTGTGTCATTTCTTAGATTCTAGCACCTGCCTCCCAGGGTTATTGTGAGGATCAAATCAAAAGGGCTTAGCACAGTGCCTAGCACACAGTCAGCACAATATAAACACTCATTCCCTTCCTTTCACCTTCTGTGGAACCCAATGTGGGAACCACTGGTCTTGTACAAGCCTCTCATTTGACAGGTGTGGAAACTGGAGCTCAGAGGAAGTGACCAGCCCGAGGCCACACTGTCAGAAGCAGTCAGGACTAGCACTTGCTTTTTTCATTCAGTCCAGGGCAGTTTCCTTCACTAGGCAGAAGTTCCCCAGCATTACTGGAGAGACTGGAGGTGGGCAATACAGAGAACTATATGGGTGCCTGGGCATAGAGAGAAGCCAAGACAAGAAGCAGAGCCCACCCTTGCTCACCCTCCATCTGGGACCTCAGGCTGAGCTCCTAATTAGCAGGGAGGGGACACCCTGGCCCTCCACTGGAAGACCCAACAAGAGGGCGGGTGTCCAGAGGAGTCAATTGGGACAGGGACTTAGAGCCAGTCTCAAGTGTGTCTATCAGTAAAAAGGCTCTGCTCTGAACACACACCTTCACCTAGGCATGTCCTTAGACTGCAGCCTAATGCTGTCACTGGGGAGGGAAGAGGTTGCCAGGAGATGCCTCAGGGCCCCTGATGCTCAGAGAGTGACTGCTGGAATCACACAGCTGTGCCCTGCAGAGCTGGGACCAGGGGCCATGTGTCCTTAGAAGTCCTCACTAGGGTTCTGATAGTCACTTTTCTTTGCGCAGTGTCAGTAAATACAGCATTGATGAACTGATGCACTGACCAAAGGGACACCATCTCCTGGGTCACAGGCTTCATGTATCAGTACTTGGCAGACTTGGACCAAAGGTCCAAAGAGCCTTCTCAATGCAATCGCTAGCATCAGGGGAAGAGTAGTGCAGAGTGGTTAGACTCTGGGGCCAGCCCTCTCCTCCCCTACCTTTGCACATGGCAGTGGACTGGGAGTCAGAGGTCCTGTGTTTTAATCAAAGCTCTCCCACTTACTAGCTATGTGACCCTGGGCAAGTCCTTAACCTCACTGGGCTTTAGCTCATCTGTAAAATGAAAAAAACGACTAGATGACCTCTGGGGTTCTTTGTAGTTCTAAAACTATGATCCCTTGTAAGCCAATAATAACTACCTGACATCTCCTTACTGGCACCATAACCTAGAGGGTAGAGTCTAGGCTTAGAGCCAGGAAAACCTGGGTTCAAGTGCTGCCTCTGCCATGTTTTGCCTGTGTGACCCTGAACATGTCACTTAACCTCTGCTCTGAGCAACTCTAAGACTTGAAATCACAGAGAAGATGCTGACCTGCACTGGTAAAAGGATTTTCCTCACCAGAGTTCCCAATTCTACTAAAATCACTGATCTAGTCTCTATCCCTTATCTGAGTCTCTGTGGTTCCAATAGCCCTGTGAGGTTGGAGTAAATATCATTGCCACTGGTTTACACATGAGGAAGCCAGAAAACTAAGGCCCAGATAAGAGCAATAGCCTGCTCTTGTTCACACAGCTAATATGTCACAAAACTCTCCAGAGGATCCCAAAGGCACCTCTTCTGCTCTGGCCTGTACCCAATCGAGGCAACAAGCCTGTACCTCGGCAACACCCCTGGCCAATAGTGAAGGCAAATCCAGGCTTCACCGGGAGCTCTCTGGTGACTCACTGTTGCAAATGGGCACAGCCAATTTCACTCTGAGACTGCTCTAATCGGTAACAAGTTTTCCCCAGCAAAAGCTTAAATTTGCCTCTGCAAGTTCCACAGCTCCTGATGCTGTTCTCTAGGACCCAGTACAGCCCCACCTCAACAAGACAGCCCTTTAAACACTTGCAGAAAGCTCTCTTGTCCCTCTTTCCCTGTGGCACGATTTCAAGGTGCTTCACTATCCTGGCTGTCCTGCACAATATACCTTGCCAATGGCCTTCCTGATGTGTCCAGAAGTTAAGCATAATGCACCTACTGTGTGCCAAACACTATGCTCAGCACTGGGGTTACAAAGAAAGGCAAAAACAATCCTTGCCTTCAAGGAGCTCAGTCTAATGGGGAAAACAACATGTAAACAGTTATGTACAAATAAGATACTGGATAAACTGGAGATAATCTCAAGAGGGAAGACAGTATTAAAGGAGACTATGAAAGATGCTTTTTTAAAACAAGTTTTTATTGATGTCTTTGTTTTTACATCACCACAGTTTTTCCCAGTATCTTCCTCATCAAAGGGAAATATTCCATATAATAGTATTTTTAAAGACAAAAAAAGGAAAAAAATTCAGCATTAACTGATCAATACTGAATACAGCTGATCAAAAAAGACTTGAAAATATATGTAATGTACAAGACTCGTGGACTTTCCATTTCAGTCAAGGGATGGGAGTGTCTTCTTGTATCTCTTCTTTTGAGCCATTCTTGTGTTTTGTTTTGTTTTTTCCAATATTCACTTTTCTTTCCTGGTGAGCTAATTACACTACTATAGTTGTGTATCTTGTTTTCTTGGCTCTGTTTATTTACTCTACATCAGTCCAAGCTGATTTTTCCATGCTTCTCTGTATTCACTTACACTTTCTTATAGCACAAGTAATATTCCATTACACTCATATATCATAATTTTTTTTTGCTATTCCCCAAACAGAGGGAGTCTGCTTTGTTTTCAATTCTTTGCTATCACAAAAAGTGCTACTCTCTATATTTCAGTGTATATGGGGCATTTTTTCTTGAACCTAGCAATGGAATCTCTGGGTCAGACTATGGACATCTTAGTCACTTTATCTGCTAATTCCAAATTCTTTTCCAAAATGATTGTTCTGACTAGGCATAGATCAAAACCCTCACACCAAATACCAAAATAAAGTCAAAATGGGTTCATGATTTAGATATAAAAGCTGATACTGTAAGCAAACTGGGAGAGCAAGGAATAGTTTACCTATCAGATTTATGGAGAACAGAAGAATTCATGACCAAACAGGAGATAGAGAACATTTCTATGAAATGCAAAATGGATAACTTTGATTACATTAAATTGAGAAGTTTTTGCATAAACAAAGCCAATGCAACCAAGATTAGAAGTAGAAAACTGGGAATTTTTACAACTAGTGTCTCTGATAAGGGCCTCATTTCTAAAACATATAGAGAATTAAGTCAAATTTATAAGAATACAAGTCATTCCCCAATTGATAAATGGTCAGAGGATATGAACAGTCAGTTCTCAGATGAAGAAATTAAAGCCATTGATAGTCATATGAAAAATGCTCTAATTTATTGATTAGAGAAATGCAAATCAAAACAACTCTGAGGTACCACATCATACCCATCAGATTGGCTAACATGACAAAACAGGAAAATGATAAATGTTGGAGAAGATGTGGGAAAAATTGGAACACTAATGCATTGTTGGTGGAGTTGTGAAATGATCCAACCATTCTGGAGAACAATTCTATGCCCAAAGGGCTATAAAAATGTGCATACCCTTTGACCCAGCAATAGCATTTCTAGGGCTGTATCCCAGAAAAGATCATACAAATGGAAAAGGACCCACATGTACAAAAATATTTATAGCAGCTCTTTTTGTGGTGGAAAAGAATCGGAAACTGAGAGGATGTCCATCAATTGGGAAACAGCTGAATAAGTTGGGGTATATGAATATAATGGAATACTACTGTGCTATAAGAAATGATGAGCAAATGGACTTCAGAAAAACCTGGAAAGACTTGTATGGACTGATGCTGAGTGAAGTGAGCAGAACCAGGAGAACGCTGTATACAGTAACAGCCACACTATGCAATGACGAACTTTGATGGACTTAGCCATTCTCAGCAACGCAAGGATCTAAGACATCTCCAAAAGTCTCATGATAGAAAATGCTACCCACATCCAAAGAAAGAACTATGGCGTTTGAATGCAGGTCAAAGCATACTATTTGCTATTTCTTTTCTTCTGTTGTGTTTTGTTTCCTTTTTCTGATGGTTCCTCCTAGTAGTTCTAATTCTTACAACATCACTAATATGAAAATATATTTAATAGAAATGTATATGTATAGCCTATATCAGACTGCATGCTGTCTTGAGGAGAGAGGTAGGAAGGGAGGGGGAGAAAAATGTAAAACTCAAAAGTTTGTGGAAGTGATTGTTGATAATTCAAAATAAATTAATTTTAAAAATGATTGTTCTGATTTACAGTTTCACTAACAATGCACAACCCTTCCCACAACCCCTTCAACACTGACTATTCCCATTTTCTGTCATCTATGCCAATTTGCTGGGTGTGAGGAAAAACCTCAGGGTTGTTTTGATTTGTATTTCTCTTAGTGATTTGGAGCATTCTTTTATACAGTTAACAATAGTTCACAATTCTTTTGAGAACTAGTTGTTTACATTCTTTGACTATGTATCCATTGGGTTTTTGGTCTTACATAGATATAATCATCTATATATCTATGTAGATTATCTCTCCCTATGTCTTAATTATATATCTTAGAAACCAAACTCTTATCAGAAGCTGGGTACAAAGATTTTTCAGGAAAGGCTTCTTGCAGAAGGCGAGATTTTAGCCAATACTCAAAGAACTGAACATAATACTACAGATATAGT